ATCTTATATGCAGAAAATCCTAAAGAGTCCACAAGAGAACTGTTAGGAGTTAACAAATGAATTCAGTAAAGTTACAAAACCAACATGCAAAAATTCATTATGTATCTATATACTAGCAGTAAACAATGTAAGAAAACAATTATACTTAAAATAGCATCAAAAAGAAAAACTTTACTAAAATTAATATGGAATTTCAAGGGACTCTGAATAGCCAAAACACTCTTGAAAAAGAAGAAAAAGTTGTAGGTCTGACACTTTCTGATTTCAAAATTTATTACCAATATACAGTAAACCCAAGACAGCATGGTATTGGCATAAAGAAAGACATAAAGGCCAACAGAATAGAAAGCCCAGAAATAAACCCTCACATATATTGTTAAATGAGTTTTGATAAGGGTGCCAAGACCATTCAATGGGGAAGTCTTTTTTCAACAAATGGGGCTGAAACAATTAGATATCCACATGCAGAAGAATAAGTTGGAGACTTACTTTGCACCATATACAAAAAATTACCTCAAAATGGATTAAAAACTCTTAGAAGAAAACAGAATAAAACCTTAATGACATTGCATTTGGCAATGATTTCCTGGATATGACACCAAAAGCACAGGCACCAAAAGCAAAAATAGACAAACTGGATTACATCTAAACTAAAAATGCCTGTGTATGCAAGGACAAAATCAACAGAGTGAAAAGGCAATTCACAGAGTAAGAAAGAATATTACAAATTAGGTAGAAGAGGCTAACATCCAGAATATATAAAGAACTCCTACGACTCAACAACAAATTTGAGTAAAAAACAGGCATAGGACTAGAATAGATATTTGTCCAGAGATGATATCCAAATAGCTAATAAGCACATTAAGATGTTCAACATCACTAATCATTAGGGAATTGCAAATCGAAACACAATGACATACCACTTCACACCCCTTAGGATGGCTGCTATAAAAAAACATAACAAGTGTTGGCAAAAATGTGGAGAAATTGGAACACTTGTGCACTGCTGGTGGGACTGTAAAATGGGTGCAGCTGCTGTGGAAAACAGTATGGTGGCTCCTCAAATAATTAAAAATAGAATTATCATATGATTCAGCCATTCCACTTCTGGCTATATACCCCCTAAACTAAAAGCAGGCTCTTGAACAGATATTTGCACACCCATATTTTTGCACACCCAGATATCTGCAAATACCATTTACACACACAGCAACATTATTCACAATAGTCAAAAGATGGAGTAACCCAACTGCCTATAGATAGTTGCATAGATAAGCAAAATGTGCCATATTGTACACAGGAATATCATTCACCCTTCAAAAATAAGAAAATCCTGTTATATGTTACATAATGGATGAGCCTTGAGGATATTTTGCTAAATGAAATCACCCTGCAAGTCAAATAATATATGATTTCATTTATATGAAGTACCTAGAGTAGTCCAATTCATAGAGACAGAAAATAGAATGGTGGCTGCCAGAGGTTGAGCATTAGGTGGAATGAGGAATTGTTTGAGTGGGTACAGAGTTTCAGTTCTGCAAGATGAAAAAGAGTTCTGGAAGATGGTAATGTTTGCACAGTGATATGAATGTACCTAGTACCACCAAGCTGCACACTTACAAATGGATAAGATAATAAATTCTGTTATATGTATTTTACCACAATTAAGAAAAAAGAAAGAGAACAAAAAAAAAATCAAATATGAATAAATTTAACCATGAAGGTGCAAGACTTAGACAACGAAAACTACAAAACATTGCTAGAAGAAATTAAAAACCTAAATAAATTGACAGGTATTTTGTATTCACAGACTGGAAAGCTTAATGTTAAGATGGGAATAAACTCAAAACCAATCTACAGATTTGAAGCAATTAATACCAAAATCCCAATGAACTTTAGGCAGAAATGGAAAAGCTGATTTTGAAATTCATTTGGAAATACAAGGGAGCTGAATAGCCAAAGTAGTCTTGAAAAAGAACAAAACTGGAAAACTCATGCATCTCAATTTTAAAACTTACTACAAAGATACAGTTATCAAATATACTGCAGTAATGGAATACAGATAAGCACGTAGATCAAAGGAATACAACTGAGGGCTCAGAAACAAACCTTCAAATCTATCGTCAATTGATTTTTGACAAAAGTGCCAAGACCATTCAATGGGGAAAGAAAAGTCTTTTTAACTACTGGTGCTAGGACAACAGGATATCCCTGTGGAAAAGAATGATGTCATATCATACATAAAAATTAACCCAATATATATCAAATATGCAAAGGGAAGAGCTAACAAGTATATAAAGTCTTGAAAGAAAATATAGTGATAAATCTTCAATCTTCAAATCTTCAAGAAATCAATGGTCTCTTAGATAAAACAACAAAAGCACAAGCAACAAAAGAAAAAAATAGGACTTCATCAAAGGTAAACACATCAAAGGACAGTAATAAGCAAGTGAAAAGATAACCCAGCGAGTGGGAGCAAATATTTGCAAATTACATATCCAATATGGATCTACAGTCCAGGGGTGGCTGGGTGGCTCAGTCGTTAAGTGTCTGGCTTCAGCTCAGGACATGATCCCAGGGTCCTGGGATCAAGCCCTGCATCAGGCTCCCTGCTCTAAAGAAAGCCTGCTCCTCCCTCTTTGACTCTCCCTGGTTTTGTTCCCTCTCTCACTGTGTCTCTGTCAAACAGATAAATAAAATCTTAAAAAAAAAAAAAAAAAAGAATCTACAATCCAGAATATATAAAAAATTCTTGCAATTCAAAAACAAAAAGATAAACAACTTAAGTGGGCAAACACCTGAACAGACATTTCTCCAAAGAACATATATATGGCCAACAAGCACAAAGAAAGATGTTTAATGTCATTAGCTATTAGGAAAGGGAAAGGCAAATCAAAACCACAATTAAAATAACGAGAATGAGATACCACTTTATACTTACTAGCATCGCAACAAAATGCCACAAAACTAAGTAAATAAAAATATAGCTGGTGAATATAGAGAAATTGGAACCCTCAGACATTGCTGGTGGGAATATAAAATGGTGTATCCTCTGCGGAAAACAGTTTGATAATTAATTAGTAAGCTAAACACAGAATTACCATATGACCCAATACTTCCACTCCTAAGTATATACCCAAAAAGAACTGTAAATAGGTGTTTAAATAAAAACTTACATACAAATGTTCCTATCTGCTTTGTCTTTTACAGTAGCCAAAAGATGGAAACAACCTCAATGTCCATGAACAGATGAATGGATAAATAAAATGTAGTATATACATGCAATGAAATATTATCCAGCCATAAAAACAATAAAGTACTGATACATGCTAGGACATGGATGAATCTCAAAAATATGCTAAAGTGATAGAAGTCTGACATAAAGGTTACATACTCTATCATTTCATTTATATGAAATATACAGAATAGGCACCAGAGAGTGAGTGCTTAATGATTATGAAGTGTCCATTAGAGGGATGAAAGAGTACACAAACCAGATTGTGGTGCTAATGTAAAACACTGTGAAACTCAGTGCCACTGAACTGTACACTTTAAAATGGTTAAATTGTAAGCTTTATGTAAAGTGTGTGTTTCACCACACACAAAAAACCCTCTACCACGATTTTTTTCCCCTATCTCCTCTAATGGAACAAAAAGCCTTCCTCCATATCATTCCCAATTCTTCACCTACTTTAAAGAAAAAAGGTCATATTGTACCATTTACACATGTAAATGTAAATCATTATCATTTAATACCTACCAAAACTCAATTATGAGAAATATTTATGGCAAACTATCTGAATGTCTTGTGCCTCCTTTCCTCTAGACAAGTAGTCTCTAAATTTTTTAATCATGCAGTCCTACGGATAAAGTATTTTTGAGCACAAATTACCAAATTAGATATTTATAAGTTATAAATTATGACTGTACTCATATATTATAAAAGATATAGAGAAATATAAATTTTTAAAGGTTGAGAAAAATATACATCTAACTTTTTTTTTAACACCTCTCTTTCTATACTCTAATGACCCATTCTGCAAGCATCCTTCTTTGGAGAGCACTGCTCTAGATACCCTAAATTTTATTCTTGGGTTAAAGTAACAGTCTGCACTTGCTGACCCCTGGAAATGTACCTTGATCGAACTCCCTAACCTAAGGTCATATTAACCTTATGGGTGTTGTTACCGAATCTCTTGTAAGGATGCTGTTGAAGATTGTTCTATATACCATGGTGCCTTCTTGACGAGGACAGATGAGAAAAATTTCTCTTAGGTCTTAAGAAATATCTGTAACGCTTTTGAATATTTAGTTTGTTTTTATATTACAGATTTACGTAATTGATCACAAAATTCTAGCTACACCAAATGTGAGAAAACAGAGTGAAAGTTGTGGCTTACTTCTGGCAACCATATCCATAGGTATATTGATTGACTTCTCCTCTGGCTTCAACTTGTCTTCCCATCACTACCAACCCTTCATTTATTTATTTTTAAGAATCATGTTGTAGCTCACCCCTCCCTGGCTTCAGTTTAATTTTCTACCATTCTAAATCTTCATTTACTCAAAATAATCATTACTGTATTACTTATGTATGTATGTGAGTGTATATATGGGTATGTATCTGTGTATGTGTTTAAAAGCACCTCAAAATTTCTTGAAAGACAGGGAGGAACGAATAAAAAAAAGCCAGGCACTTTTGGTCAGAATGGAGAACATCCGACACTGGCAGTCCCCTGTGTCAGGGGTTTACTTTGCAGATTCTGAAGCATTTAGTAGCAAAGCCCTTCGTCCAAAGGGTAATTCGTAACTGAGTGTCGATGAAAAGAATGACAACTCACAATAGCACTGTACTACACTTTCTCACTCTTTTCCAGCTGGTAAGAAATGTTATAGTGAGGAAAGGGCAATTGGCTTTTTTTTCGCTTGTGTGCAAAGCTTAACTAAAGAGTCCGTGAAAAAGGCAGTCACATTGCCAGATGGAATTTGTAGCCATGTACCTGGATGTGTTTCCTTCTGGTGTGCTCAGAAGTCATTTGGGGATGAGCCGTATTCAGTGCTTTCTTGTTCTTCTTGTTCCGCCTCTCAAAGAATCTCCTCTGATGGTCGGTGAGGCTGCTGTACAATTTAATTCGCCTGGGTGACAGACAAACTCTTTCTTGGCCAAAAGCTTGGATCAGTCGGGCAGTGTCAATGGTGGAAACAGAGCTGCTCCTCTCATGCAGAGTCACCTCTCTATCTGTTTGGGTCAACATATCTGATTCCACCGGAGAAGTGGTAGTGGAAACAATGTTGGTGGGGGTGTCTGTGAGCAGCTCACTCTCCTCTGAGGGCCTAGAATCTGAAGAAGTATTGTTTCTGTAAGGAAAACCTGGCTGTTTTCTCAGGATATACTTATCAAATTTAATCTGTTCAATTTTAATCTGATTGGGTTTCCCAGCTTGATGAGTAGAAAGCACCTTGCTTTTTTTAAGCTCTCCTGCAGTTTTATGGAATTTCTCTAGGCTCTTATACCGCTTCTTTTTCTGAAGCTTGTTTTTCTGCTGTTGCTGTCTACCACTCCATTCCTTAACATCTCGTTCTCCTCTGCTATCATCTGGTGTGCTTGCAGAGGTCCGGAGAGAGTACGTGATGGGATTCTGAAGAAGTTTAGCCAAACGATCAAGTCGTTCCACCAAGGATAGTTCTTTCCTGTCACTGAACTCAGGAGGTTTCTTTTGCCTCTGTCGCTCCTGATACTTGTTCCAGAGTTCATTCAAACTCACACTGTGCTGAGCTGTTGGCTCTGGGGTGAGTTTAGGATCCTTTTTTTGATCATTAATTAGTTTGTCACTTTTTGGATAATCTCTAGCCCGACTTTTAGCAGTATGCATCACTTCGTTTTCCAAGTTTACATTGATACTGAGGCTCTCTATTCTGGTATAATCTGCCTTCGTCTTTTCCACATTTTGGTGAGGTGAAGGAAGACGAGTGTGTTCTCTTTGTTTGTCTGGATGATGCTGAAAGAAATCTTTCCAAGAATGTCTCATGAAAACACTCCTTCCTAAGGATTCATGGCAAAAATCTTGATCACTTGGTAGGTGCACTGGATGATGAAAGTAAAACTTGGCTGACCTGAAGACAGAATGGGTAGTATTTTCAAATTCTGAATGACATCTGGACTCTGAAAAGGAGAAAGGAGAAGATTCTGAAAGACTTTCAAAATGTTTGCATCCCCTTTAGAAATGGTATTCACACTTAATTCTCTAGATACAGAACAAAGACCTAAGGAAAGAACAGTTTTATATAAAGTTTCAGGGAATTAGCTGCCTCCACAAAGGATTCTAGCCATACGCCTATAGGCCAGACTGATACAATAAAACTTCAATAAAACTTTGACTAAGGGTCAAAAGACTGGGATTCTAGGTTAGATTTTGCCACAGACTGGCTGTGTGACCTTAGGAAGGCAGTTTAGTTCTCTGGATTTTAACAGCAACTGCTGTACATTCACTACCTGCTACATGCAGAGTATTATGATATGTGCTCTGTATCTTTTTCCTTTTAATTCAATTTTATTGATAAAACTGAGAGAGAGGTACTGTTAACCTTATTTTCAGTTAAGAAATCTGAGACTTCATTTTCATCACAGTAATTAAACAGGTGGGATTAAAGAAAAAACCTCTTCATGTGTCTTAGAGGCTTTTAAAATTCCTTTCTCTGAACCATCTTTACGTTTCCTCCCAATTTTTTTTTATTGTGGTAAAATACACCCAACATAAAATTTACCATCTTCATCTCCAATTTTTGACAGCCATTATTCTATAACAAACCAGGCATTTTTAGATATGAGAACATCTTACAATTATAAACCCTAACTGTAAATACTAATATACCCGTTTCTGGAGTTCCAAGTCATGTGGGGAAACAAAGATAGATACGCAACAAAGTAACAACTGTGACTATGGGATCCTTTTCGCCCACAGTATAGATTATTGGCTACCAGAATTTTCATTACTCTGAGAATCCCTAAGACAATTTCCCCAGACTACAATAAGATAGATGGATCTGTTTTTATAGCTAAAGTATAAAAAGACTCTCAAACCTCCCAACAAATAAAAGTCCAGGACCAGACGGGCTTCCACTAGTAAATTCTACTACACATTTAAAGAATACAAAATCAAAGTCTTCCAAAAAGTACGAGGAGGAGGGAACACTTCCAAACTCATTTTATGAGACCACTATTACCCTGACCCCAGACAAGGGCACTACAAGAAAAGGAAATTATAAGCTAATATTCCTAATGAACCCAGGAGCAAAAATCTTCAACAAAAATATCAGCAAACCAAATTCAACAATATATAAAAAGGATCATACATCATCATCAAGTGGGATTTATTGCAGGGATTCAAGGATGGTTCAATATCCATAGTCAATGTGATACACCAAATTAACGAAAAGGAGGATAAAAATAATATATCATCTCAAGAGATGCAGAAAAAGTATTTGAGCAAATTCAATACCTACTTACGACAAAAACTCTCAACAAATAGGTATAGAAGGAATTGACGTCAACATGATACGGTTCATACATGATAAGACCATAACTGACATTATACTGAATGGTAAAAAACTGAAAGCTTTTTCCTTAAGATCAGGAACGAGACAAGGATACCTACTCTTGCCACTTTTACTCAACATACAGTAGTATACAGAAGTCCTGGCCAGAGTAATTAGGGGAAAAAGAAAAAAAAGGCAGTCACTCCTGTCTTCTTCCAATCTGTTCTTCAAACAGTAATCTTCAAAAATGTAAATTAGACCTACCATTTTCTATTTAACAACTTTCTCTTACTCTTAGAACAAAACTCAAACTCCTTAACAAGGTGTACAGGTATCTCACCATGCATTACTATCCTTCTTGATAATTATATTCCAATCATGCTGGCCTTTCCCCTTGTTTCATTAAGTAGCATAAGCAAAGGCATAAAAGCAGGAAGCATTAAGCAAATAGTTGAGTGTAAACATTCAGTTTATGTGGTTATACAATTTGCAAAGTAAAGGCAGTAGATAAAATAAGGTAGGAAAAGTTACTTGGGACCAAAAGAAGAGAGCCTAGAAGTAAGTTTACCCAAATATGATAAACTGATCTTCAATCAGAGTGCTTAGAATACCCAGAGGGGGAAGAACAGCCTCTTGAACAAATGGCGTTAGAAAACTAGGTATCTGTAGGCAAAAGAATGAAATGGACCCTGACCTTACGTCATACACAAAAGTCAACTCATGGGGTGCCTGGGTGGTTCAGCTGGTTAGGCGTCTGCCTTCGGCTAAGGTCATAATCTCAGGGTTCTGGGATCGAGCCCAATGTCAGGCTCCCTGCTCAGCAGGGAGTCAGTGTGCTTCTCACTCTTCCTCTGTCCCTTCCCCTGCTCATGCTCTCTCTCTTTCCCAAATAAATAAATCTTAAAAAATCAACTCAAAATGGATTACAGACTTACATGTAAGACCTGTAACTATAAAACTCCAAGAAGAAAACAAAGGGAAAAGCTTCATGACACTGATCTTGGGAATGATTTCATGGATATGACCCCAGAAGCACAGGCAACAAAAACAAAAATAAACAAGTGGAACTACCTCAAAATAAAAAGGTTCACCTTGCCTATCCACTACTATAGGATGTATACCTTAGAAAGAAAAGTAACCTCTTACATACCATTATCAAACCCATCTAATTTTCCATTGATATGATACTAATGTGAAGTTTATGTTCGAATTTCAGCAACTTTCCCCAAACTGTTCTTTGTAGTAATTTTTCTCCCTGGGCTAGAGTCCAATCTAGGATCATGACTACATTTAGCTGCCATGTCTCTTTAGTATCCTTTAATCTAGAACAGTTCTTCAGCTTTTGTCCTTCACGACACCTACATTTTTGAAGAGGACTGACCAGTTATTTGTTGAATATCCTTCAATTTGAGTCCTTCAATTTGAGTTTCTGTGAGTTTCACTGTGATTAAAGTTATGCATTTTGAACAGTTCTATAGGAGTGATGTGTCCTAAGTACATCGCATGTGAAGTACTTAATTTCAATGTTTCTTATTACTGGTGGATGTTAATTTTGATGTCCAAAGTTCTCTACTGCAAAGGTTAACTTTTTTCCCTTTGAAATTAATGAGCAATGTGGGAAGATATTGTGGAATATCTTGAGGCTGAATAAATACCCTTCTCCCCGGTAAGTTTTCACTCACTGGTTTTATCATCCACTGATGATTCTTGCTTAAATCTATTATTACTAAGAAGATTTTCTAACTCTATTTTTCCTCCTATGTTTAGTTGGACTGTACTATAAAGAACAGCCTCCCCTTTTCTTATTATCTAATCAATGAATAATGAATCTTATCTGTTTTAAAATCCATATGGATGCATGAGTTTATTTATATTATTTTTAATTATGTTCAGTTAGCCAACATATAGTGCATCATTAGTTGTTGATGTAGTGTTCAATGATTCATTGTGTATTATACCCAGTGCTCATCACAACACGCCTGATTTTTTTTTTACTATGCATGACTTTTTTAAACCTTTTGATTTAGAATAGTTTAGTCTCAGAAAAACTGTGAACACAGTACAAATACTTTTCTATAATTCATGCCCAGTTTCTTCTATTATTAACACCTTCCATTAATGTAGCACATTTTTTATGTTTAATGAACCAATAAAGATGCATTGTTATTAACCAAGGTCTACACACTCTCTGATTTCCTTAGTTTATACCTAATGTTCTTTTTCTGTTCCACGATCCCATACAGAAATATTGCATTACATTTAGTTATCCTATCTCCTTAGGTTATTCTGGTCTGTGACAGTTCCCCAGATTTTTCTTGTTTTTCATGGCCCTGACAGTTTTGAGAAGTACTGATCAAATATTTCACAGAATGTTCATTTGGGTTTTTGATGTTTTTCTCACAACTAGGCTGGTGTCATACATTTTGGGAAGGAAGACTTTAAAGTGCCATTCTTATCACATATTAAGGGGACATACCATCAACATGACTTATCACTGTTGATGTTAACTTTGACTAGCTGGCTGAGGTAGTCAACCCTGTTTATCAGGGTTCTTCACTATAAACTTACTCTCTGTCCCCTTCCTATGCCAAACTGCTGGGAAGGAGTTTACTTTGAGCAATCCACTCTTAAAAAGGAAGGAGTATGCTCTGTCTCCTTAAAGGTGGAGTGTCTACATACTCCATACATATTCAGACATCTGGAATTCCGCACAGAATTGTCTATTTGCTCCCATTATTTATTTATTTCTTTAATTGTTTATATATATTAATATGGACTCATAAAAAAGGACAAAAACAACTGAAACTAAAGGCTGGTTCTTACAAAAGGTTAACAAAATATTTACCCCTTGGTTATCATTCAGTATTACTATTTGCTCAACTTGTGGCAACTTTCGTCCCTTGCAGCTCTTTTACTTGGCCCTTGTGTCCCCTTGGCATTCTTATCATTGTCAGGTTTTCTAACTTTCCAGCACTAAAGATGCTCCTGGCTCTTCTTCTATATTTTTTGTTCTAACTGTAGAATCAGCCTATTTTCCCAGGAGCCCTGAAAATATGTTTTTGTGGGTCTCATTTCTGCTTTTTATTTTTACTTTTTATGCTTTTTCACTCATGGTGCTTATGAGTTTGGTATTTGGGGGAATATTTTGAGGTCCCAGTTGAAATTTCTTCAGAGAGATGTGTATCTGCTTCAGCCTTCAGGCATATGAGTTGGCACTACGAAGCTAGGGCCATTTTAAATAAAATTCTGGGCTGGAGAATTTTCAGATAACACATAGTCCATTGCACCAATAAATTGTACCAGTGCAAAAAGTTGGTCTGCAGTTACAAATTTCAGGATAAATTTGCCACTGCCTTCTTTCCCTGAACCCATTACCAAGGTTGAGAAAGGCGAACTTCCTTGTTTTATTCTTTTGCATGGATGTGTTTATTTCTTATTTATTATTTTACTTAGATTGCAGCCTACCGGAAACCCAAGAAGGATTTTCCCACTATCAGTGTGCCCTAAGTTCTATATTTTGTTCCGGACTTCATGTAGACATTAAAAATAAATCCCAGGGCAACCCTCTCAGGTCCCCTCTCTCTTTGGGAGCTTTGTACCATTGCTCAATAAACTTCACTATCACTC